ATACAGCCCATCTTTCTCCCACTGAGCAGCTGGTGGACTTGAACTGCATGCCTTCGGGTTGGCAGCACAACTCCTTATCACCAGGCCACTAGAGCTCCTTATTTTACTATAATCTGACATTATGCAGAATGTGCACTTGATGATAGAAAGTCTACACAAACCATCAATTTGAGAGGTAGCAGTTACAGAGAACAACCTCAGGGGCCAAATAATACCAACAACAAACATGTACGCTTTCTAGCAGAGTACAAAAGCATTACAAAGTGCTTAGAGAATGCTATCTAAATAATGCAGTGTCAGGAGTAATATTATAAATAAAAGATGGAAACTGAGTTTGAATCCCAGTCTGACCATCTGCCTGTTCTGCTGTGTGACTGTTCTGTCCCAATACTTAGACTCATTTCCGTTTTCCCACGTGTAAAACTGAAATTAGAGAATCTAACCCAAAGCACATGGAAAATGTTTAGAAAAATTCCTGGAACACCGTAAACACTATACACAGGTTAGTTACTACCCTTCTCATATGCTGTAGAGAAGAATTTGCTTTGTAGACCATTGTCTTTTCAAAGAGGAGTCCAGGAACAACCTGCAACCGAATCACCTTGCCAGAGAGCTCCACTTGTGCAGTCTGTTGCCTGCTGCACTTCAAACCCAAAGGCTGTGCTTCTCCCAAGGTTCAAATCCACTAGCGCTTCCTTGGGAGAAAAGTGGACATGCTCCTTCTGCTATGAGTCTCAGAAACCCAACAGAGGAGCATTATGAGTTGGAACTGACTTGATGGCAGTAAATTTGAAGTTCAGTCATCTGGTGAATTTGTTTAAAGCACAAATTTCTAAGTCCCAATAACCTAAAATAGAATCTCTGGGGATAAGATCAAGGAATTTGTTTTCACAAACAAGCTTCATGATTTTCACTGTTGTTGTTGTTGTTGTTATGTGCCGTCGAGTCGCTTGGATTTTCACTGTACAAAACCCATTAGTATGGAGGTGGTAAATATGGGATGGGGACGGAAGGCATCCCAATTCTGAGAAAATAGCCAAATGTCATCCGGAATCGAAGATCAGAACACTGAGTCTTCCAAGCCTTCAGGATGTTCCAATCACCTGAATCACAAGAACTTGTGACCTCCTTTGCAAATGCTCCAAGTGAGTCTTATCAAAGGAGTTTCACAAAGACCAGCCTCGTGGTTCCTATGGATTCTTGTTATGTGCAGTGGAGATGGAACCAACTGGTAGCTGACCCTCCAAGGGGTCTTCAGAGGCTGTAAATCACATGGAAGGAGGCTGCCAATCTTTCTCCTGTGGATGGATTTATAATACTCCTCAATTTGGTTTTAAAATTAAGGTACAGAAAGAAGGCTTGTCATGCAAGGAGGAGTTCAAAGTACCAAGTAAAGCCATTCACTCAAAAGCTCTTAGGAAGTACTACTAAGCAACAGAGCCCAGGTGATCTCTCAGCTGTGAGCCAGCAGGTCAGTGGTCTGAATCCACCAGCAACTTTCACAGCCTTGGAGGCTGGATGAGGGTCACTGTATGTCAGCACTGACTAGGCAGCAGTGGGTTCTGGTTTGGGTTTTGAGCAATTAAGCACAAAACCCCAGTATTGTTCTCTGTCTGTAAGTAAGGTTGTTGAATACAGCCAGGCCTTTGCCAGTACGTGTGGCCCCACTCTACCCCATATACAATTCACTAGGTTCACAAAAATAACCTACACGTTTCAAAAAGAACAGAAAATTTTATTAAGAACATCTTATACTGTCGTCAGATACAGCCAAAGAAAAAGAGTAAACAAACAAGCAGACTTCATCTTCCCGTGTGCTGCGGCCACTTCTGAGCACGCTGCTGTGGATGGCTGGATTACACTTGTCAAGAAATGCTCTGTATCAAGAAATTCATTAACACAACATTCCTCTTCTATACAGAGAAGAATGGGGTTTACACTTTAAAAAGCTTTGAAATAGTGCAACAACTATGAAACAAGACTACATCTTTAGGAGCTATTCCTTAATAGAATACAAAGCAGTTGTAGTTTTATGCTATTTTATGTAATGCTAGTTTTTTTCAGAAAGGAAAATTCAAGAAGGAAGATTTTAATTTTCCCAATTAACTCCTATAAGCTTCTGAATATTTTCTCTCTAAAGGTTTCTCAGAACCAGTTCAGTGACTGTATTAGATGAAATGCTCACTTAGACATCTTATTCTCTTAACTCTGCAAATCAAGCTGCTCAGACCAGTTCAGCTTTTGCTGATTCTGAAGGATTTCGTACAGAAAAACCCTGATTCAGAGTGCACATAAGAAGCAGTATCAAAACAGCTGCAATGGAGTGGCTTTCAGGGGAGAGCAGAGCTGGTACGCTCAGACCCCCAGGCTACCCCCATGGTCTTTTACTTACTATAGTGACGGCAGGAGCAGACAGAGCCAGGAAATCCACTCAAATTGCCACTCCAGAAAGGTCTCTGCACGGTTTGTGGAGAAGTGAATGAGGATATCCATTCGGACCATGGTATCCCTAGACAAACTTGGTGATGTGCTCTTTAAGGGCCAAGCCGAACTGCACTCAAAGATGCATGATTTGCCTCAGATATACAGGAAAGAAAATGCTCATGATTTAATCCTACTTCATGAGAATAGGAAGCCTTCCTTCCAGACATGACGACTACATGCTGCTAAGGCTTACCGTGTTAACAGTCCTAAGGCTGAAAACACGGCACTAATTCTAGACCACACTTCTCGTGTTTACAGGAAATGAATCAGCAAACAACTGAGGCTCTGTGGATTATTGGTCAGAGGAGGGGCTGAGGGTGGGTTTCAGGTTCTTGAATAATCACTATCACAAAACCCATGAAGCTCTTTAAAAAAATAATACATTTTTATCATAAATATTTAGAGCTGATACTGGCATTAAAATCAGCATCTAAGTCAGAAGTCTATCTTGAACAGTGAAAATATTTCAACAAACTCCTATAAGATCTCAAATCTCTCCAGGAGTATACAGCTTATAAATTAGTTTGAAAGGGGAAGAAAAAAGTATCTTAAATGGATAAGTTATCAATTTAGCAGATCATAAATAAGGTTAAGATGCTGAAAATAAGTTGACATTCTACCAGGCTTTACTTTCACATAAACAACAAAAGACTACCTTACTTGGTATATTTTTCTAATAGGTTACAAAAGTTTTCTAATCATCCATTTGCTATCTTTCCATATGGAATCATTTTCATCTGTTTCTACATCCAGTGACAGAAGTACATAGTACAAACAGATCCAACTTGAGATACTCCAATGTGTGCATCTGTTTACTACATGCCATGTCCATATTTAGGCTCACATGACAAATACTGGACAGGATCTATGATTAGCAATTTGTCAACCACGTTACGAGTTAAGTATTTTAACTGTTAAGTGGATTAGGTTCTTGAGTGAGCTTTTTGTGATAGTCTCTATAGGTAATTTACCATTGGTTCAGTAAGAAAATGTGCCCCAAGTCCCAAACGCTAGGTAAAAAACTTTAGAATCTAGCCCATATATAGATGGTGACTGTTTCTAAGTGTCACTACTATGGGGAGACATCAAATCATTAATAGCACTGTTTCCAAAATCATTGGTTATTAAAAGCAAATGTCCACTTTCTCCTTCACATGTAAATTAATTTTAACTCTATCCTCTAATACTGACAAAGAAATAGAGTGCAGTCATTCACACTAGTGAGACATAATTGGTTATAAGATTTAAAAGGAGCAGTCGTATTGACTATTCTAATTTGAATCTGCTCAGAAAAATAAAAATGTCTACAGTAATAAATGAAAAAAAAATTATCTTAAGTCATCATTGGATGCAAATCCACGACTTATCAATGCACCTTAACAGAAAGTATAAGGGCATGCAACTGTTGTAACACACAGGGTTAGATAGAAAGAAAAGGTGGAAAGTACAGTGGTTTTGGTAACTCTGAATATACAAATATAAAATTTACCAGATCTACCCTGTAATGTTAACATTGCTTAATTCTCAAATTTACACTCATTCAGAACTTTGAGGAAACATTAAAAATGTTCCAAGTTACATTACTGAATGTTATTGAATATTGTATTCTTGACCTATTAGAGCTAAAAATACTATTGTTTTTAAAGCTATGTGGCTAAGGGAGTTACAAAAGTATTCTTTTCTATTTCTTTTAATCCCTTAGATGCCTTTATATTAAAGGGGTTGGTTAAATTAAAAGGAGGTTGACTTGACAAATATCCATCAGTTCCAGAATCAAAGTTACCCTTTTAGCAGAGTGTCAAAATTTGTAACATTTCCAAAGCATTTTCATATTAATATCTTATTCTAAAGAATTTCATCAAGAAGTCTCTGTTTAACACTAAGTTTTCTACTCTAGCAGTCATGATGAAATCACAATTGTAGAAAAGATATTCTAGATTTTGAGCCGACTTTCAAAGTAACATCCATGTTTAGTGTTAGGTTACAGACCTCTAGGAAATAAGCAATCAAAGGCATTGAGAGGCACACACCGATATTCTGGTTGGAGAGAAGGGGAAAGATTAAGTTAGAACATTCAGTCCCTTATCCAATCAAGTCCTAACTACACCATAATAAAGTCACAAACAGTTCCTGATTCATTTTTCCTCTTTAGAAATGACACAGTATACAGTGATTACATACTGAAGAAAGTAAAGAAAAACATCTGAAAATACATGAGGAAATAGAAACATGAAACCTCACAAGGCTCTGGATCAAAAAAATTTACAAAAGATCTTTTGAAAATAATCACTATTTGGAGCTTATTAATACACAGAGATCATGTTGTTTAAACTAAGTTATGTTAATTTACCAATAAAATAGTAAACAAACCAACATTTTAAACAATTTTATAAATTACTTGTTTCTTTTGTTAGTGTCACTCTGTCAACAATATACAAAAATAATGCTACAGGACTAGTCACCTAACCTGTCTCCATTTCTTGCAAAGTCCTGGAGCTCTGGAAAGAGACTAGTCATCAATCCTCACTGTAGATGTCCCCCGCAAAAGGCAGGTGCATGTGGCCTCCAGTGACATTGGGCAACCGAGACAAGTCTGGCAGGCTCTGGATCCGGGACCTGAGTTCTTTGCGCACCAGGGAGACCCTGGCTAACTTGCGCTTATATTCCTGTAACATTAAAATACTTTCATTAGCACTCTGGGAGTTTAGAGGAAAACCTAGCACCATACTCAGTTAATGATAAAAAAAAAATATTACAAGATGAGTTTTAGCATCAAGAGGTTAAAGCAATACATAACCAGAAAAATGTTATTACTTTAAAAACTCATGTTAATATACTTAACATAATCAGATACTAACCTGTTTTAATTTTATTTAACGTTTACAAATTATATTGATTTTTCACCCACTTGTTTTAGAACAGCACTTACAATTCATTACTTAATGATGTGTGATCAACCCCTTATCAGAGTCTTCCACCCAACTTATCTATGAATTTTTATTCCCCTTTCTCATACTTACATCCTTAATAATCATTTAAGAATCAGTCTACCCCTATGTAAACCATTCCTCTGCTTTGTAGAATTGCAGTTTTCTATCATAACAGTTCTTTTGTGATGGACTTATTTTCTTTATATCCTCTAGATTTATCTCTTTTGTGAATTCTTTATTGTTTTCTCAGTGTACTTAATACTCCACTGTGTGAATACGCCATAGTTCTCCTATTCATGTCTGTTGATGGACACTTGGGCATTTCCACCTCTTTGCTGTTGTAAATAATGCTAAAATAAAAATGAGTGTCCATTTCTTTGGGAGGTGTATCTCTAGTAGTGGGGTTGCATGATCAAATGGATCACTCTGTTCCTAACTTTCTAAGGATGCATCAAACTGCCTTCTATTGTGGTTGTGCAAAGTCACATTTCCAGGTATCACTGAATTTGGCTAAGAAAACTTACATAGTGGAAAGGAATTGTGCTGCTAATCCAAAGGTACACAGCTCAAATCCATCAGCTACTACCCAGGAGGAAGACAGGGAAATCTCCTGTGTGATTTACTGCCTCTGAAAACTCACTGGACTGTCAGCTATGTGCCTGTTCCAACTCAAAGGTATTCAACAATTAAGGACCTACAAGCAGGAGAAGATAAAATAGGTGAGTGGGACCTTCTAAGAATCAAATCCCTA